GGTCAGAGCGCAGTGACCCCCTGGAGCTGGTGGTGACAGGTGAGAGGACACTCAGGGGTCCCAGCCTCAGGCTCTGCCCTCAGGAAGGGGGTCTGCTCTCAGGGTGTCTCCCTCTCACAGCCCAGCCCTGAAGAACAAGAGGAAGGTGTGAGCCCATTTTACATGCTGCCTCCTCCTCTCCTAGGATCCTACAGCAAACCCAGCCTCTCAGCCCTGCCCAGCCCTGTGGTGACCTCAGGAGGGAAAGTGACCCTCCAGTGTGGCTCATGGCAGGGATTTGACAGGTTCATTCTGACTAAGGAAGGAGATCACAGGTTCTCGTCGGCCCTGGACTTACAGCCACAGCCCAGTGGTTGGTCCCAGGCTCTGTTCCCTGTGGGCCCCATGACCCCCAGTCGCATGTGGTGGTTCAGATGCTATGGCTGTTACAGGAACATCCCCAAAGTGTGGTCACTCCCCAGTGATGCCCTGGAGCTCCTGGTTCCAGGTAAGTCCCATTATTGTCTCATCAAAGGATTGAGGCACCGGATACATAATTTTAATCCTTACTATGAGGGGAGCCCCTTTGGAGAAGGTGCAGTGGTTATAGGGGCACCTGGGCCAGAGACACAGAGAGAGACAGTGAGACCTGTGGGCCAGAACAGGAGAAGGGGTTTATGGGAGGAGCCGCCCCTGTAATTCATGTCTGGTCTCCACAGGTGATTCTGGGAAGCCCTCCCTCCTGACCCAGCAGGGCCTCATCGTGGCCTCTGGACAGAGCCTGACCCTCCAGTGTCGCTCTGATGTCGGCTATGACAGATTCGCTCTGCACAAGGACGGGGGACGGGAACTCCCCCAGAGCCTCGTCCTGCGGCCCCAGGCTGGGCTCTCTCAGGCCCACTTCCCCCTGGACACCGTGAGCAGCTCCCACGGGGGCCGGTACAGATGCTACGGTGGATACAACCTCTCCTCTGAGTGGTCGGCCCCCAGTGACCCCCTGGACATCCTGGTGGCAGGTGAGGAGCCAGTGGGTTCAGTCAGGGACCAGACTCTGCACAGGCCCTGCTGGGGTCTCAGGTGGTGAGGCCAGAATGACAGTGCAGGCCCCAGGGAGGGAGAGACAGAGAGAAGCAGGGGGTGGGAGGGGAGAGGGGAGAGTCAGAGAAACAGAGACAGACAGAGATGAGGGTCCTCAGAGAGAGACCTGGTGACTCTCAGGGCAGAACAAGGTGGGCAGGCAGCCCTCACCCTCCCTCCCTCTCTCTAGGACACCTGCCTGACAGACCCTCGCTCCCACGGGGGCCGGTACAGATGCTACAGTGGATACAACCTCTCCTCTGAGTGGTCGGCCCCCAGTGACCCCCTGGACATCCTGGTGGCAGGTGAGGAGCCAGTGGGTTCAGTCAGGGACCAGACTCTGCACAGGCCCTGCTGGGGTCTCAGGTGGTGAGGCCAGAATGACAGTGCAGGCCCCAGGGAGGGAGAGACAGAGAGAAGCAGGGGGTGGGAGGGGAGAGGGGAGAGTCAGAGAAACAGAGACAGACAGAGAGGAGGGTCCTCAGAGAGAGACCTGGTGACTCTCAGGTCAGAACAAGGTGGGCAGGCAGCCCTCACCCTCCCTCCCTCTCTCTAGGACACCTGCCATATGCACCCTCCCTCTCGGTGCAGCCAGGCCTCAGGGTGGCCTCAGGAGAGAATGTGACCCTGCTGTGTCAGTCACAGAGCTCTAGGGACATGTTCCTTCTGTCCAGGGAGGGGGCAGTGGATCCTCCCTTGCGTCTGAGATCAGAGCACGGAGCTCAGCAGTTCCAGGCGGAGTTCTTCTTGAGTCCTGTGACCTCAGCCCACGGGGGCACCTACAGGTGCTACAGCTCACACAGCACCTCCCCCTTCCTGCTGTCACTCCCCAGTGAGTCCCTGGAGCTCCTGGTCTCAGGTGAGGGCCCCTGACCCTGTCTGCTGAGATGTCAGCTAAGGGTCTTGTCCCTATAAAATCATGGGCTGTAAGGGAATGAGGGGCTGCAGGGATGGTCGCCCCAAGGAGGCCTCCCACCCCCTCCACTCCCTTCCCCTCACCTGGATACTGAAGCAGTGGGAGGTTCTCAGTGGCTACAGCACAGATGAAAGAGGGTGTCTGTGTGAAATGGGGTGCAGGCTCAGCCCAAGCCTCTCACCCTCTTCCTGTCCTCATTTCCAGGACCCACTGGAGGCCCCAACCGCCCACCCACAAAGCCCACCTCCACAGCTGGTGAGTCCCGGGGAGCTCTGCTCAGAGGGAGCACATCCCACCCAGCAAGTCCTGAGAGTCTGTCAGGGGATCGAGTGACCCAGATCCTCAAGGACCAGCTTGTGTCCCAGGGGGGCGGGGTGTCCCAGGGTCAGAGGCAGTGATGGGTGGGGTGGTCATGGCAGAGAGTGATGTGGGGGTGCAGGCTGGGGGAGCAGGAGCTGAGATCATGTGGAGAGATGACCGCCACCACCCCCCCTGCCTCATCCTCATTTCAGGAGGCTCTGAGGATCAGTCTCTCCTACCCACAGGGTCAGGCACGGAGATGGGTATGTGAGGGGCTCTATGGGGAGGAGGTGGGTGCCTCCTTGCGGACAGGGGCTGAGCAATAAGGGATTCAGGCCCCTCTGGATTTGCTGACTTGGACATCCCTTCCCCTGTTTGGGCCTCGGTGTCTCAAAGTGTGAAAGGAGAGAATCCTTGTCCAGAGCTTAGATTTCCTGTCAGTTCTGACCCTGACCGCCTGGGAGAGGGGACTCACAGGGAAGCCCCCAGGATGTGATGTTATGGGGCCTGTCCCCTCTGTCTCAGTGGCGGTGACACTGTACAGGGAGGGACAGGCAGGACAAGGGTCCGGGCGCCTAGTCCTACCCCTCAGCTCAGGCTCAGCTCAGAGGAGGGAACAGTGTGGATCAGTCCTGGCTCAGCTCCTGGCTCTGCTGCTCCTGCTGTGGGGCTGGGCGTTCCCTTCTCTCCTCTGAGTGTCGGGTTCCTGTCTGCTCATCCCTGGTCCCATCCTGCTCACAGGCTGCTGGGAGATGAGGTGACATAAGGGCCACACAGAGCTCAGGAAGGCAGATCCCCCAGCCCAGCCGGACATTCCCAAGGTGGCATCAGGGCCTGCCAGGTTGAGATGGAACCCAGAGAGACTCAGAGTCCACACCACACCCTGCCCCTCCCTATCCCTGCTGTGCTGGGGGCAGGTAATGAGGAAGGACCCTCAGCTCCAGATGAGACGTGGACAGGCCCCTGCAGAGGAGGAGCCCAGAGCAGGAAGCTGATGTTCCCCTGGGAGGCAGCATGAGGACAGCACAGGGAACCCACAGTCCTGGGTTCCAGTCCCAGCCCTGCCCCTTGCAGGCTGGGTGATCTGGGGCACATGATTAATCTCTCTGAGCCTCAGTGAGTGGGTGGTGGGGTCAGCCATCCCTGGTGTATGAGGTGAGAGGACATGAGTGACAGACCCCAGCAGG